GCTAAATAATGGCTCAACAAAAAGAACTAAAAAATCTGCTTGACTTACATTCATTCCGAATTTACACAGCTGTTTTGTATCTCACGCTAAAAAATGTCGGTTTTTGCGCACACATTAAGTTTGGAAGTTGGTAGGACGGTCCCCACTAAACGGTTCAGATGAATAAATCGTCAAAAATTAATTCGAATTGAGATCTTTTACTCTACTTTAGGAAACCGGTAAATGGCTGTCGGAATTTTGACAAATCTGGTCAGACTACTTGCGAGGAAATTTGTGAAAGACAACGTCTGCCAGAGGTGAAAGCCGCGGAAGTTGCATAAACGCACCGTTTTTTCTAACCTGTATCTACTATAATTTGCCGATCAATCAAGTGAAAGAAAGCCACAGTACCAGACGGGGTAAGGATCTTGCGTTTTTCTCAACTGTTCCCAGACAGATATATACATCACGAAGCACACAGACAGGGACTATTTTCTATCACGCGAGCACACATTTTAGGGCATCGAAATGGCCTCACACATTCGATTGCCGGCTGTAGCTTTTTGAATTATTTTGATGTGAAACGGCGCATTCTCGGAGTGAGGAAGACAAAGTGTGAAATTTCAGAGACAACCTGGCTTCGAAATGAGTTGGTAATTTTCTAGTGGACTTCTTCCAAAGCCTCCAAGACGGTGATATCTCGGTGGAAAACTATCCGATTTGATAGAAGGAGAATCTCTCATGACAACATACAAGAGGAATGAGTCATTTTTACCTATTCGCTAATTCATTATTTGACTTCAAGTAGAGGTTATGGACAATTCGATTAAGAGTTGGTTGATTTACTTAATGCTATTTTTCACCCCTGAACCAACAGCAGATGCGTTTTCAGTTAGCCTGATATTGGAAAAAAATCCATTGTGGTGCGTGCCAATCCGATCTTAAGAGCCGAAAAACTAGGCGCAAGCAATTCCCAAATGTTACCGGTCACGTGATTGTAACTTGTTCAACCGCACATCCCGACAAAACTAGTTTGGATTACCACTCTGTTTTTATACATTTGACACAAAGGTACACATGGTATAACAGACAACGCCAGACAAGTCCCCCCATTTAGATTTGAATAAACCAATTGCTAGTTTATTTTTTTGTGTGGAAGGATCTGAGTTGGAAACATGGATACGAGCATGTGGTCACCTACCAGACCAATGTTACCAATTGGAAAAAGTGGAAAACAAGGCCATACAGTATTGTAGAATGTCACGAAAAAAGTTTCAAATATTTGCGTTACTTGAGAAGAACAGGATTCTGTCCGAATTAACGGTTTTTATTGATAACAATATCATATTTTCCATGCTTCCTAGCTGCACGTATCTCGGAAATTAGTCATCACTTTTCAGGCGTAGCACACTTTCAGCGTCTAGCTGCAATACTACCCGAAAGAAGCGCAAGGTTTGAGATACGGATAGCTATCCAAGCCTGGACAAGGTTCGAATCACGGACCTTCCGATCAGTGAGTTTGTGCCCTAACCACCAAGGCTTCTCGAGCTCCCTCATAAGTGTCACTGTCCCACAGGCCTTCCGATCTATACGTCGGTGACACTGCGTTTGATGAGTGTACCGGACAGCATGTCAATACTGTGGACGGAGAAAGAAACTTCCAGGTCGACATGGGACAAGCAAATCCGACTCAGACAGATCTGTTGGATAGATGCTAGGAGGCTTTGAGTCTGTGTTTGAAACCATCATCACCAGGAACATCTGCGACTGGCAACAGATTGAAGGAAACGTTTTGGACATTCGCATTCTGGCTGATTTGAATCTGCATAAGTTTGCTCCAAACCAGAGAGTGCTAGGTTGTGTGAACCATGCTAAATTCGCAACTTGAGGTCACCCACAGTTGGGATTTAGGGAGAACTGTAAGCATTTCATCTTTAAGTAGCTCTTTTCGGAAGTCTTAAAGAGAAAAAGGTTTTTTCCTCTCCCAAAGAGCAGTGCTTTCTGAAGGTGGTTTTCTCAGCACGCATCGAGAAGTCTACAAGAAAGCCTTGTTTCTGTACCTTGAAATGGCACACAGTGCACGGAACAAATCGGGCAAAATGGATAAAACGAACTGGTCGAAGCAGGTGTTGATCCGAAAAAAGCGTGAATGAAGTCATTATTGAAACGGATGGGGTTTTGACCTTTACATATATGACTTCATTTCAGTTGAAAGAATTCAACATACCATTGAAACAGCAAGCGTTTTCGCTCCACACCCGGAACCAATCAAACTGTTCTGTGCATCCAACGTTTGACATGTACCATATTTTTTCCGACCTCGATGCTATATCCTAAACTTACGTTAATTCTGAACTTACGCACACCTGTTGATGAACTTTCCACTAGTTGGTCGCAACATTTCTTACTGAGCGGACATCATGCCCGCCGATCGACATTCCGATATAGTCCCGAAAGCAACGTAGACAGCCGCATCCATGTGATATAAAATCATAATAGCTAGACACACATCTAACTTCTTCGGAGTTGTATTACTATGGTCTATAGAAAAGTATGGAGTAGTTTGCTAGGCCACCGAGCTATTTGGATAAAAAATACCCGAAGGTGAAAACTTACCACAGGGCCCTATGGATCGCACTTTTACACCATACAGTTGTCGTTGGCAAACACTTGCACGCAGATGACATTCGCTCCGGTATGTCTGACCGTCAGTGCCACATACCTGGTCACCAAGACCCTTTTCCGGACAGGTTGGACAGACACAATGGGCCACCATTGGCTGGAATTTCGAAGGCTGCGAACCGGAGTACTGTGGTGAATGGATCTGATATACCGGCGGAGCCTTGATTCTTGTACAGACTTCGTAGCCTTGACAATGAAGCCCTATCGCTTGGCATTGTGGTTCCTGGCCTGTCAAAATGACATGCAAAACAGTAATTAGGAAGAATGGTTCATAGTTAGGGTGTCATGTGTGAGATGAGGATTCGAGAATGACACAATCTACTGACAGAATTCGTTTATCAGGGCCTTGGGGTCGTCCGAACCCCTCCAGAAGCCAGGATATTTATCAAAGGAGGCTACTGTGGATACCCAAACATCCTGACGAATAGATGAATTGGTATTTCCACCCCAAGTAACGAATAAGAAAAGGGGCATTAGCTCTTTTTCATTTATTTTTTCCATTTCTTAATCTAATCCAACAAAAAGACAATGATCAACGAAATCTGTGGTGTTGGAAGAAAGCTACAGTGTTTGGTTGTACCGACAGGGCTTTTTGTATGATCAGACATACGGAGATCCTTGTCAATACCTGACCTAGTTTAACTTTGATGCTTTAGAAGATGATGGTACCGTTGGCTAGTTACCAACAAAATTTCATCAGCCGTCCTCCAACCGACGGCTCTTTGTTGCAAAAAGCTGGAGGCGAACTCAAGGCGATGATACACAATCAACTGGGCTTACCCGTTTCGGTCAGCTCTGCAAGCTTTGGTCAGAAACCTAGGACAAATAGCAGCCAATCTAAGCTGAGCATTGATAGCCAATCAGATGATGGATGGTGGGATACGCCTGAAAACCCGATAATGCCCAGCAATACTGAGCATACAAAAACCTAAGGCTTTGCATTGACGAACTGAGATTTCTAAGAAGAACGCTGACCTCTTCATTTGCTTGAATCTCCGGAAACAGACTTCCATTCGCTTCCCAAATATATGACGAAAGGAATTTAGTTTTAACCAATTATCAGAAAAAATCATTCATCAGACAAGTTGCTGGGTTTCAGCTAGGGTGAAAACACTCTGATGGACCATTCATATTAGGAGGTATCAGATACTTTATAGACACAGATAAATAAGTTGTGAGTACCCACTAAACTGTGCATCTTGACTGATAATGAAACGTTCGCAATCTGACTGCCGAGTTCGGTGAAAGATCAATGACCACCTGATCGAAAATCAACGGTGAATGCCATGTCAGTTTCCAGTCGCGTGCATCAACTTTATTCAATCCACTAAACAGATGACCCTGTGTAATCGCATGTTGCATGAATCCCAGTTTAGGATACACAGTCAAGTCTAATGCTGGTCCATCCAGTGTGACAACGTCAGTGTCTTAACCTGACAGCAAAAACTAAGCGGTATAACGAGCATACACGGAGGTCTGCGGCTCGCTAGGATTTCGGATTGCACCAGTACCTGGTACAGGTGAAAGGAAGAAGGCCTTCGGTCAAGATGCTCTGTGTATCCAACGTGTGACATGTACTATGTATTTTGCCGAACTCGACACTATATCCTATACGCATGTTATTTTTGAATTCACGGAGACCTGTTGATGAAATTTCCACGAATGCCACAATTCCCCAAATTCCGCAATAGATCTCTATTTTCAAGAGACGCAAAGCGAATTTACAAGAAGAAAACATACTACTAGCGTAGCGTGCCATCAGTAGTATAACCGTTACACGGACATGATATTTTTCTGTCGCCAAACCGTTTTCAGCGTAAAATATTTTAGCCAGATGTGTGCGTTAGAGACGCTTGATTTCAGCCATATGCAAAACATTCTGATGTACTTTGAGCACTTTTTACACCTCTGGAGTGCACTGTACTGCTTCTGTACTGGTCGCGCATGACGTCAGCATTGGTGTTCGGTGATTATGTTTGAAAAAATTCGCTTGCCCATGAGAGCTGCGGACTAGGATCTTTAGATCGCATTTCGTTTTTATCAGGTGCCGGCATCCACGGGAAAGATGTGCTGTGGCTCGTCCATACTTTTTTATCGTTTTGGATAATTACCAATGTGGATAAAGGTCTAACAAACTTGATCTCTAAACTGCTGGTCTGCCTGTTACGCGTTTTGAAATAATAGGTAGATATAACACCACATGTGCGAGACTGGATTGTCTAACTCTTTCGTATTGATTCATTCGCTCACAGATCGAGCAAAAACAAATGCCATATCAAGATTCATCAATTCTTTAGCTGGTTTAATTAAAGCAAAGTCTCTAGACGTAACTCACTACTCATAAGTTCGCGGAATATTCTTCGACAACCCACGACCAGTTTCGCGGAACATCAGCTGAATTCAACTGAGTTTCAAAGTGAACTGGCGTGCAAGTGAAAGTATCTGTCGACAAGCAGCTAACTGCTGCCTATGGCATTTTAAGTATCGGTTAGGGTAATATGAGGTCCCATGGAAGAGTGCTCACAAATGTGAATACGGAATTAGAGCAACAAAACAGCAGCCAAGGTAATTCTCATGAGTGATGTAGATCCTACTGAAAAACAATATAAATGAGTATACACTCATTTGCAAACTAATTTGTGTTTTTTCGAAACACCTACCTGGAACCCAGCTGAATCTCTCAGTTACAAGTAGAACAAGGTAGAACATAAGGTTGACGGAAACTCGGGGACCGCGCCTGTCTGGTGAGCCCCAAGAAGGGCGAAACCGGTCGTGGGTTGTCGAAGAGTTTTCAGAAACCTTGTGAGTAGTTTCCTATATGAAAAAATGCTGCGATATATCGAATATCGTGCCAACTGAAACATGAGGCGGCTTGTGTGCAGCACATTCAGTTGTAGAACATCATAAACGAGAGATTCAGTTGAGTCTCTCGTGAAAACCAAGTTGATTTCCAAATGAGTGTACTTCTCGAAAACAGTCCAATAAGGGTTCACGTAGGGCATAAAGTCGGGGGACTGCGCCTACCTGATGAGTTCCAAGAAGAGCGAAACCGGTCGTGGGCTGTCGAGGAGTTTTCAGCAACCTTATAAATAGTGCATTACGGGATATAAATGAATTAACTTTGAATTTCGTTGTGAGTGATTGCAAGTGTTGCTGAACTTTCCTTCACATTAGTCTCGTTCGTGTGGTCCTCATTCTGTTTTGGGTTAGTTCACATCCAGGTGTGTTAACATCGGTGCACCAGGCGCACGTTCAGCGAATCTTGACAATCGAGAATGATCAGTTGAAGATATTATCGTCATCATTATCATCATCACAGATAGCATAATGCTAATAACTAGCTGCCCTAAAACTGAATAAATTCAGGCCCGAGAATTCTGATTAGTTTACAAGCGTGAACATACTTCCTCGTTCATTGGCGATAGTTCGCTCAAGTTCAGTATAGGCTGGGGAGAAGTACTGGTGAAAGGAAGAAAGCCTTCGATGCGGAATTACTCATTAGAAAATGCCAAATGATCAGTTACAGACTATCGGACAGAAAAGCAAAACTCTCACATGCATCTTGTTTACAAAAACTGAACATCCATCTTCACTTGAACGCGTCTTCCTAAACTTCCCAGGATATTCATTTACTGTTGCGCAAATCCGAGCAAATGCTACAAAGCAACTCCACAAATTGCGCAATAGATCTTTCTTTTCAAGAGACGCAACTCGAATTTACAAGAAAACATACTACTAGCGTGCCTCCCCATCAGTAGTATAACCGTTACACAGACATGATATTTTTCTGTCACCAAACCTTTTTCAGCGTAAAATATTTTAGCCAGATGTGTGCGTTAGAGGCGCTCGATTTCAGCCATATGCAAAACATTTTGATGTACTTTGAGCACTTTTTACATCTCTAGAGTGCACTGTATTGCTTCTGTACTGGTCGCGCATGACGTCAGCATTGGTGTTCGGTGATTATGTTTGAGAAAACTCGCTTGCCCATGAGAGCTGCGGACTAGGATCTTTAGATCGCATTTCGTTTTTATCAGGTGCCGGCATCCACGGGAAAGATGTGCTGTGGCTCGTCAATACTTTTTAATCGTTGTGGATAATGACTACTGAGGGCACAAGTTTTCCACTCATCTTTGCGCGTCGCCATCTTTGAAGCTTTTTTGCACATAGGGTGCCTAACCTTCGTAAGTGGCGTTAAAATACTCGCCTACCGAGGACAATTCTGTCCACCGAGTGCCCCTCCTCTGGTGCACACTAACTATACTGTTGGAATTTTTTCACTGAGTGGATTTTTGGTGTACCATGTAGAAAAAACCTAACCAGATGCTGATTAGCCAATCTGATGCAGGCCGATTTCAAAATTGCAGGCTAAATGAAAAGATTTAAAAACAAAACGGCGAAAAACATCTCTGATGGTCGGTCACTTTTGAGGAACGCGGAATTCATCACACGGAAACTCCAAATGGAGATGGTACCCATCAGTTGCTGCCGTGTAATGCATAGATTTATTACTGGCAGAGGATATATGCCAACACTCGTATGGAATCGTACGGCACTCAGGAGGCAAAGATGATTGGCACGCTTAACCGTAAAGACAAATTGGTCGAGGAACAAGGTTTACACATAGTCACGCAATGATACTGATTCGAGGTTCACCACAGAAAACGGAAGCTTCGAGGACTTTCTGTCAGACAGGCCCGTAAGAGTTACTTACAGTTGCACTAAAAATCAGAACAGAGACCAGGGGCCCTGAGAAACAGCCTAAATAAAGGACCATTTGAAACTGCCGGAACAGAAGGCTCTAGTATTTTCAGGCAACCTAGATGCAGCAAGAAGAACAGTGCATGTGCAGTCGCTCCATATTAGGTGGACCCGCTTAAGAACTCGGAAAAACTGGTTTATTCGGTCTCTTACAAAGGGAAATTCACTACCAGAGAAAACCGAGCAACGAACAAAGAGTTGACTGATTAGATATCATTCAAGTCTCACACTTAATAGCCGAATTCTGAACCGGTTCAATTTGGGCGAAATACACTCATTTGCAAACTAATTTGGTTGTTTTGAGAGACTCACCGGAGCCCAACTAAATCTCTCGTTTATGATGTTTCCAGGCAACTGAGTGTGCACCACTAGGTCACCTCATGTTTCAGCCGCTATGATAGTCGAGATATCGCGATACATATATATTTTTGTCATACACTACTCATGAGGTTGCCAAAAAGTGCTCGACAGCCCACAACCGGTTTTGCCCTTCTTGGGGCTCATCAAGTAGGCGCAGTTTCCGAGTTTCCGTCAACCTTATGTTCTACTTACCTTATGTCCACCTACCTTATGTTCAATTTGAGTTAAAGCTCATTCCACTCATCTAACCGTGTAGGCTGTACGATCTTGAATTTTCCCATCCGAACTGACGAAGGTGTTGGCACTGTTCAGTAAGTGATTAGTTTGCCTTTATAAGAAGGGGTGATCCGTAATAGCAATAGTATCAGTATACTTTTATTCATTGTCAAGAGTTTGTAGTTGAACTGTCTGTAAGGGCATGGATACGCTGGGACAGCAGTGAAGCTCCAACCCAGTACCTCCTCAATTTGAAGGGGCACGCCGGTTTATTAAAATCATCAACCTAGAGATGAAACACGGTGTACTTTTGTAAAGATATTCGACACTTTCCCAAGCTATTATTACTGTAAATGATCATTTTGCTCGAGGAGTCTTTGAAATACCATATTCTGCCTGCTGTACTGATCAAGTTGGTCCGATACTTATTGAACCAAATGTTCTACAAACTTGAACTAATTGGGGTTAAATTCCTTTGTCACTGCAAATGTTTAAACGTGCTTTTCAATCTTCACATTCGCTGAGTGTGGGGAGAAAGTTTCCAACACACTGACCATCTGTTACACCGAAAAAGTGATCTCGATATTTCCAGTCAGTGGAGCACAAAACACCACCAGGCCACTCGATGGAAGTCATTTATTACAGTTGACTGAACAACGGTGTCTACGTACCATAGCAACAACACAAATTACGCAATCCGACTTATAGTGTGGGTCCGGAAAGGGGGAGGTTTATGCCGTCCTGTCAAAACACTTCATGCGTGAACTTGCATAGTAGGGCCATACGTACGTACATAGGACACGTCACAGATAGTTTCAACTCACTGCATTGTCCGGAGTAGACAACCCATAGTTGCCGCATCTTCATGCAGGCTGTAAGTTCCAAATGGCAGTGGCTATCATAGGTTAGACCGTCACTCCCACATACTGGGAGCATGACTTTGGGACAGGAATCAGGGCACACGCACTTTGGTTGACCTGTTTCATCGATCTCACAACGTTCACCGGGCCATCGACAAGTGTGGCTTAGACATGGGTTGGAAGCTAGAGCGGGGTAGATCAAGTTGGCAAAATAAAAACAGTACAATAATTTCGGTACCGGAATAGTTGGCTATTCACACTCAAAAACACAAACTAGAGTAAGCACGGTATGAAAAATAAACGAAGGTCACATGGGAAAAAACCCATCCCGGTAGTATTTCTTTCGAGAGTTGATCAAAACCGATTTGCTTTAATGAAGTTTGTATTATGCAGTGTGAGTACTGGTCGGTCAACTGTGATTCGAAAGTATGGTGACCAACCAGCGATTAAGTTTTCGAATCCATACTCGCACTTGTCAGATGGCCAAAAGAGTGAAACAGCTCTTTGATATACCATTATAGATAGTTAACCGTTGTGAGACTGGTTGGTTACTAGCATTAATTACAGGATGAAGGGTTTTTGTACGTGTTCCGTATTGTAGACTTTAATTAACTGAGGAGTTTAAGTGGCCCATACATAATACTTACTAAGGTGTCCACATGGGTAAGGCTATTTATCAGGAAGGTCAGATTCCTGAAAGCAACTTCAGAACACCCGGAACCTACTGCTCCACCAAAAAACTCAGCAGGGAAGCTGGCAAGCATCCAGGCCAGTCAATCATTCAATCAGTTCAGCAAAACCAAAGGTGATCAGCGTTCAGGCTTTCCATAGAGGCACGATCGACGTTGATGGGTGTTCATGAACGCCTATCAAACAGCCTGGATCAATGTCAGAAAGTCCCCTTTAAATAGTGTGGGGCCGTTGTAACGTTTGCTCTCGAACTCGCACGTACTCACGCTCTCGCACCCGCTTTGTTGGAATATAGCTATTGTGTTCCCTTCTGTGATTCTTTTTTCTCCGGCATTAGGCACTGGAGCGGGTCAGCAGCAGATACCACAGATTGACGAATTAGTAGATATAACACTATTGGACATGAAGCATCTATGATGATCCGTTCAATGTGGTTAACCCGGTAGCTTCAATGTTCCGCCTTGAGTCTTGCACTGACATCTCCTATGTTCCGGCTGATTGCTGCTCATCTAAGCAGAAAAGTAACTCCACTCGCCGTTTAAGATGAAACAAAACTTGGAGGGATCCTGATCAATTTGTACATAGATAGGTACCACATACTCTGAGTTTCGGGTTTCAAGTATGAGGCTAAACATCCAAGAGAAATCCCAAGCCGTCCACACCGGGACAAAGTCAGCTTACATGGGATGTAAACTAAACCAATATTTAACCATCGTATGGTAGTTTAGTTCGTCCAGCAGAGCGTTTGGCCTACAAACCCATTCTGACGTCTCAAATGTCACTTTGTGGAAGTACAACTTCAAAAATCACGGATGCGAACCACAGTATTAATGTGCCCTACTTTACTCCCCTAGGATACTGGACGAGGGATTCTCTTTTTCAGGGGAGTGGTTGACAAACAACAGAGCTACACAGCTTCTACAATTTCATTTGGTCCGACGGAGTCTCTGTCAGCTTATGTTCTGACCAATTCGACAATAACTGGCTGTAGATGGGTGAAAACCGACGAAATACCACAGTGAGAAGTTCTGATGAACAAGCGGTCTTGAAGGAGGGTCTCCAAAACCCTGGTATTCAAATATCCTGTGAAGAAAATCTTGTCGATCTGAAATTTGCAGACGACATCGTTCTCATGTTTGAAGAGGAGGAGAAGGCGCAGGTGTTTTTGGATGAACTGACCAAAGTTATCCTGTCCTTTGGTATGCACGTTGCACCCACAAAGTGTAAGTCCACTCTCCTGGACTCGCAGTCACGGCACTTACAATCCAGGGAGAGGTACTGGAAATTGTGGAGCGTTTTACATGTCTTGGAAGCTGTAGTAGTTCTGATGGCAGTGTGACAGGTGAGGTGAATGCATGAATCTGCAAGGCTCAGGTCGCGTTCGCTCCTTTGAGACACCTAGGGCGTCAGAGTGGTTCATCCCTGAATCTGAAGGGACGTGTGTATTAAGCTACAGTACGGGCTATTTTCTTGTATAGCTGTGAGACTTGGCCTATTCGAGCAGCGGAACTGAGACGTCTTCAGGTGTTCAACAATCGTTGTCTCAGAACCATAGCTCGTGTGGGTTGGTGCCGGCGTATCCGTAACGAGGTAGTTAGAAAACGCGTTTTCGATTGTGTAACGGGTACTTTAATTGAAGAGTGCGTCCAGCGTCAGAAGCTGCGTTGGTAGGGACATATGTCGCGTATGTCGGACCATCGTTTGCCGAAGAGAGTGCTGTTTTCCATGCCCAATTCGGAGTGGCGTAAACAGAGAGGTGGCCAACCCTTGACTTGGCAGAGGAGTATGAAGGAGATCACGAAACGCTTGGATGCTGTCGGTGCTACTCGCCTTCCAGGATGGGGACCACGTGATCCTCACTATGACTGGTTGGAGACACTACTGATAAATGTTTATACTACAAGGTGGAAGTTCTTGGATTTTGGACTCCCATGAGTTTTTCTGTTTATCCCCAATAGGGATGGAACGACTGTACCTTGCCTCTTCGTAGCGTAGATTGGCTTCACTGACAGGGCAAAATCTCAGTTAGAAGCTTGCATTTCACCCAACTAGGATTCAGATAGGTGGTTAATTTGTTGTGAACGATTTATTGGCTTTACTCTTCTAACAAGCGACAAGGCCAATGAGCACTTGCGATCTCAGCAGTCGATCGGCAAAATTTATTGTATGTAATCTAATGGAATTATTAGTTCTGGAGTGCCTCCGTATACAATTGAAATCGCAAAGCATGAATGGGAACTGTGAGAGTTTAAGTCTTCCGAATTGACTAATTTTATAGAAATAATTTTCAAAGAAGACAACCTCTGACAGATACCATCAATTATGATGCGGTAGGGCGTCTAAACTTTTCGAAATACAGTTTCGACCGGACATGTCGCACAGCGGTGGTCCGATCCTGACGATTTGTTTAACCAACCAGGCCTGTACAAATTGCGTGAAAGGTGAACCTGCACCTTTGTGGGTGAGAAAACCGAACTTTTATCGACAATGTATTTAGGATGTTTCGTAGAGGAATTTCCCGCCGTCACTTTGATTGATTGTTGGATTATGCTAGAGGTCAGACAAAGACTAGTGCAAAAATGTATTCAGTTGACCAAAAGTGCGGTTTGGTAGGAACTGGAATGATTTTTTTCCGGAAAAATATGATGAATTGATCGTCTTAGGTGGCTGATGACCAGATCATGCAGCTTTAAGGAGGACAACTCTGGTAATATGCAACGTCACCAAAATTGTATTGGTAGTCAAAACTCCTCTGGACTAGTCATACTCGATAAAAAAAATGCAACGCAACCAAATGCAACCGATAAGTTGCACCCGACCTACCAAACACTTACTGGGAGGTCGTCTTTTCATGATGGCCTTGAAATAAGTTAATCAAGACATTTAATTAGGTGGTGACTTCACAAAGAAGAGATCCGTTCGTTGGAATACCTCCAGTAATTAAAAACAAACCCATTTGTCCTCTTCTTTCAAAAATGAACAAGTTTCAAAGTTGCGTTAAGTTTTGCGATTCACGGGCATATCTCTCTGTTTTTGGTTGAAACAGATACACCTTATTTGAGGTGAAATGCTCTTTACTACTGAGAACGGGAAGACATTACCGGAGAGGTTCTAACTATGGGGTAGAGCCGGTTCGTCCTAATTAACTTTAGAAAATCGCAACGGTGAGCACAGTTTCAAAAACAGAAGACAGTGAAGACAGAGGTAGTAATAAAGTCTTATTTTTACAGAAAAATTGTCAAGTAAATTGCCTGAGAATGCCTGAGACCTCGCCAACTTAATCGAAATCTCAAATGGAAGCCCGCAAGCATCCAGACAGGCCAATCAATCAACCAATCAATCAATCAATCAGTTCAGCAATGGCCGACGAGTGGTCAAGCACGCCACAATGATGAGTCCGACGATGATGAGCGTTCAGGCATTTCACATAAGCACGATCGATGATGATGAGTTTTCATCAGTGCCTACTAGGCAGTCTGGATCAGTGTCTAAAGTGCCTCTTAAATAGCGTCAAGCTCATTCTGACTTTTCCACTCGCTTTTACGCAGTAAAGCCGTTGTGTTCTTTATTGATGAGTATTTTTCACACATCAGGACTATAAAGCGGAGAAAGTAGTTAGTTACAACAAAATGTTGGAGGTCAATTGTAAGGTCAATTTGTTATGGTGAGAAGGGACGTTTTCTAATGCGTCGAGCTATCTAACTGCTCCTGTATACTTACCACATTTTCCACGGTATTTTATTTCAATATCCATCATCATGCTGCAAGCTTCACGACGAAGATGACATACCGAGGAGTATTCCTGACCATCGGATCCACAAATGGGACCCTTATCTGTGGAGTCACCCACATCGTAACACGTATTGTAGCACACACAAGTTGGGCGCTTAAAATCCTTTGACGGAACGCACCAGGCTTGAAATGCGCATCGATAGTTGGTACATGGGTCTCTGATCCCTGGTGGGAAACGGTAACTAAAGCAGTCGGAATCTTTAGAATGGTCGATTGAGGACCGATCATCTTGCGTGTTTGATCTGGGCACTCGCGTCTGGTTATTGATGCACACGCCAACCACACCTGAGTAAATAATGATGGGACCCAGCAGAAGGGCGATCATGTCGTCTGCCTTCGTTACGGGAGATTACGAGGACACATCGTCCACGAAACAATGATCAGGTACGTATCCTGCATACCGCCCACTTTGCGGATGACTCGTAAATCCGCTGCCCGTGCGATTTATTCACTGTGAGCGCTGGCCAATCAAAACGCGAGTTGCTACCTATCATCAGATTGGTGGAGAGAATCACGTGCCTGCCCTCTTGTCCAGACTCTGGGACCGTAAACCAAAAGCGCGTATGGAGAGCTTCGAGACGAACGGTGCCCTCAGTTAGTACTGACTGAATGCGCAGAAAATGTGATCGTACGACCACAAGACTTGTCTGAATTTGGTAAATAAATTGAGGCGGATTTGACAAACGTTGCCCCTATATTTGATTCTGCAAAAGGCTTTACAACCACACAGACTCTGGGTACGATTTACGCTACGAATCGCGAATAAGCTGACGATATTACTGAGAAAATTATGGATACTAGGAATTCAGAATTTTTAGCCATCTTTCCTCTCACCTTCGTTGGATTGTGGACCAGCGATAATCGAGTCACCTCGACCTTGTTACAGGTCGAGCAACTCCAATGTTAGTCGACCGAGGATCATTATTTTGGTGACAGTTCTCACGAAATTCTCAGTGACCACTGGGAAGAAAAATGGCTGTTCACAACTAAGTTTAAAAAACTCATTGGTTTAATAAGTGACGGAAGCCAAAGTGCAAAGTATCGCTTATTATGACTGCCATCTTACCGACGTGCGAATGTGACTTGCGAGGTTGTGAACTATATTTTTTGGATTTTCGAGCAATTCGGTGCTCGAGGTTCGAATTCGTGACGCCGAGTTGATATGACAAAACTTCTGATCCAAATTGTACCTTTTGGTTGGTCAGATGAATGTTCACCTACATTCAAAGTTGGCGCATGAGAGTGATAAACATGCCAGCTTGTATTCTCACCATATAATTCCATTCAGATGGAAGACAACCATTACCGCGAGGTGTACAGTGAAAGTCAACGAATGTAAAGTACTGCCGAGTTGTTGTTTGTTGAGGATATGTCGCCAGTGCCGAAAACAGTGAAGAAGTATCAGCTGGGTCTAGATGCCACGTCCGACATGAGTTATCTGGTTGACTGTCTCTAATAATCAGGTACATAGACTGAACGGAGTTATACATTTGAAAATAATTGGTGAGCACATCTTAAGATGGCTGCAGAGATGTGTCTTCGGCAGTCCAAGTGATGCGATAGCCCTGACTACGTCGCACCGATTCACAATGCAGCAACATTTAGTGACCAGTTTTCCATGACTCTAGTAGGTGATTGGGGTTCTGCCATGTGGAATTTCTACCAAGCTTCGTTAAATTAACAGTCTGATTCAATTTCACTAGTATTCAATTGGGCACCTTGCATGCACATAAAATGTTCCCTGATTTAATGCATCCACAACTACGGTTGACCTACTCATTCGCCTCGATCTCACGTGACGTCTTCCAAAGAATTGCGCGGACCAATGAGTGGCCTCCAAGTGACTTGAACCCGAAGCTATCCAGTTTTCCATTGTTATTGTCTGTATCTAATATCAAGGGAGTAACATCTGAACCCTAGTGGAAAAGTCAGTGATCAGGGCATCTCAAAAGTAACTTTTCAAGATGTCGAACGCCAATGGTATCTTTATAAAAGAAACTACTCACAAGGTTGGTGAAAACTCTTCAACAACCCACTACCGGTTTCACCCTTCTTGGGGCTCATCAGGTAGGCGCAGTCCCCGAGTTCCCATCAACCGTGCGTTCTACTTGGACCCAAATTGGACTGTTTTCAAGAAATACACTCATTTGCAAATCAATTTGGTTTTCACGGGAGACTCAACTGAATCTCTCGTTTATGATATTCTACAACTGAATGTGCTGCACACAGGCCGCCTCATGTTTCATTTGGCACGATATTCGAGAAATCGCAGTATATTTTCACGAAAGAAACTACTCACAAGGTTGCTAAAGACTCTTCGACAGCCCGCGACCGGTTTTGCCCTTCTTGGGGCTCATCAGGTAGGCGCAGTCCCCGAGTTTCCGTTAATCTTATGTTCTACTTGAACACAAATTGAACTGAATGCGACGAGTATACTCATTATGTAAACATACTGCGATATCTCGAATATCGTGCGGCACATTCAGTTGAAGAACATCATAATCGAGAGATTCACTTGAGTGAAAGCCAAATTGATTTGAAAGTAAATGTATTTGTCGCAACCAGTCGTATCAGTACGCTGATTCTATGTCAAAGATATCATCACCACTATCATCAGGAAAAGAAATACCAGTGTTCACATTGGGGCTTTACTATCGTACATTTACGAAGAATAGTCAGTTATACTTAAAGCCTTAGAGGAAAAAGAATAAAGTGGGTGAGGAGGGACCTTGTCCATCGCAAGTATTCCGATTTACTTACACCTTTAAGCGCTCAACTGGACAATTTAGAAACAAACTGACAACACGAGCGTCACCAAACCGATGGATTGATCCAGCAATCCAGTCAGAAATATGCCCGTATAGAACACAATCAAATGAGGATCTAAACGACTGAAGTCATGGACATTGGTCAGCGTGTCAGTCACGCGGAAAGGACCACCGGTTCAGAATTTCTTACATTGTCTGACTACTTCCTATACCAAACTGTTTCGTCAGATGATTCATGTATACAAACAATGCAACAGACTTTTCAATGACACTGTCATCCGTTACTCTCACACTGCGAGTGCGTCCGGTTGTGTACGCAGTCCAAATGTTGGTGGGAGACTTCACCAGTAAATTACGAGTAGAAAGACAATGCCAATCAAACGTTTCGCTAACTAATGTTGGCTTTCTCTGCGTAGTCTTCAGTAAATCAAATTTTCACATCTTTGGATGCGTCTAGCTGGGGCTTTTCGACGCACGATGAGTGAAATTTCATTATGGAGTCAAGAAAGTAAACTTCAGATGTTTTCGTACGCATGAGATAGTCAGACACAAATGTGTCTGCCAATGTTCGAGTTTATAGTGCGGTCTGAGTCAGAAACCTTGGGCGCTGTGAGCTAAGAACCTTGAAAACTCCCAGTACTGACCATCGGTGTTTTTGGAGCACTGCGTGGACCTAGTTTGAGCATCGGGTCAGTAATGCTGAAGTACGTCAAATGGTTTTCGGATGAAATAACACGTCCACGATGGATGAACTGATCACACTCCTAGGTTGAGCTGGCTAGATAGATCACTTGCCTAATCGACCGACTTCCACGTATGGCCCTTTCAACACAACCACGCTGGGGGTTAAATCGAACCAGGGGAGGTTGAACAATGACTGGGCGGCGAACTACGCAAGCTATTGCTATCCAACTTAGCTCCGCTTGACGGTGCATGTATTCACGCACCAATTATATCAGCTGTCATCTTCAGTGCGTGATTAGTCAACCGTATCTCCCCAGATCATCATATAAATATACTACTGTGCAACATGTACGCGGTTTAACGATAATGACGACGATATTTCCTGATAGAAATTAGTTTACCTAATGGCTATCTGCTAAAATTACGCAGAATGAAGTTTTATACATCTGCACAACCCGCCTTCCTTTTCATTTTAGCATCACAAAGCTCCCACAATCCATTTTAGTTCCGCAATCATGGTAGATTCCCTTTCTCGAGCCCATCCTCAAGAAAGGTCACCTTTCAAATCAAACCATCTTTAGTAGGTTCCGGGAAATTGGAAAATTGTAGCAAGTCAAGTCCATCAAACTTGAATAGGTTGGACACATTCTTCGTCTTCTAAATTGAGTTATCTTCAGGGTTGTTGCTGCTCCCGAAGCACTTTAAGAATAGCTCTGTGATCAACCCGTTTAACTATTGATATGTCAACCTAATGTCATTTTGTCCTTTCTCACGTGATATACCAATTGCATTCTAGTATATTGGTCGTTTTTTTCGGGATCGCTTGTTCCGTACTTGTTCCTTTTGACAATGACAATGCCTGCGGATTTAATCTCAACCAAGCTTGTTCATCATACGATGCATCTGGTGTTTCCTTACGTGAGAGATCTGCTTGGTTTGCGTCTACTGAAACGGCCTCGAAGCAATTTCAGAAGCATCTCGCTACTTACAACCCACATCTAAGAGGTTTAACCTTGGAACGCCCGCACATATCCCTTCACGGCTTGACATGACAAAACGTGATCCGACACAGGTTCACCAGTATTGCGTTTTACTACTTATCAGAGCCGAGTAGTTAAAAATGAAATAGTAAATTCATCTAGTCATTGTTCGTGTTTCCATCAGTCGGAGCACAAATCAAAGTTGTCCCTCAAGCATTTCTTAGTCAGTTGGCTGTATTTAAACAGGACTGCGGTTCACCAGAAGTCTGATAAGCTACAGCGCCTCCTCAACTTTTATTTGACCTTAAGCAACCATCCGCCTTTAGGTGATACGGATTGCTGCGCACGAACAATGGAATTAACTCAATCCGGTTAAATTAATGAAAACTTCAAATGCTACAAATTCTGCATACTGATTTCCTGAATTTTTAAATAGCCGGGCTGTCTGAGGATTAATAACGATGCTTATCACCCAAGTTGCAGTGTAATTACTGATCCATTACTTCCTGTAGACTGACATTTTTTGGAGGTAGTAAGTCTATTTTTGACACATCGTTTTTATGGAGACAAATAAGCATGCTAGTAAATCATGTTTTGTTCCACCAGGTAATCACCAGATTCATCCCAAGTTTTCGTTCGTGTTTCGTCCCGTGTTAACCTGATCTGATGAAAGACATTGGGTTGCCGAAAGTTGTTTCATAATTCACGACCGGCTTCGTCCTATATGGAAGTTATTTTGTAGGCGAAGCCTCAGACTTTCCATCAGACATGTTTTACCTAAAGTTAAACACTGGACTCAGTTCGCGAATCCGCACGCTTATTTGATTTTACGACGGACTCAAGTGAATCCAATCTGAAGGCCTCGTTTGTGACCTTTTTCCACCGAGCGATCTGCATACAGTCCCCCTCGTGTTTCATTTGAGACAGCATTCAAGACATTGCAGCACGTCGCCGAGTTGAGTCTCTCTTTAAAGCCAAATTATTACGCGAATAAGTATTTTTTGGACTGAGTCCACTTTAAGGTCAAGGGTTTACGGGAACTGTGGAAGCGGGGTCACGTGATAAGCCCCAAAAAGCGCGAAAACCGTCGAAAGCTGACAAAGAGTGCCCAGATATCTCGAATACCTTATCAAATGAATCGATTGGAAAGCATGATGAGCCATTTTTGGTCTTGCAACTCACACCAAACTGGTTAGAGTAACAAATTAAATAGCCTTCTTGAAGAATCCGGTGCTTATAGTTCGAGACACATCTATCAGAGGAATAACGTAGGCATTCGGTGTGAATTCAGGTGTTTCCTTCTGGAAAACAGTTAGCACCAGAAATGTTTCTCATACGGCCTTTTCATCTTTAAACGCTGGTGGTAATGGCTAGTCAATTAGTCATGAAGTACCGGTATAAATCCTTTCAGCACAACTGGTGATAAAACACAACAGAATTATTAAAAGGTCTCTAAGAAAACTATGAAGTGCAATAAAACCAAAATTGTTTTTGTGTGAACAATGAATCACAATAAGAAGTACTCGATTCAAGATTTAAGGACACTGTGTAAACCGTCGCTAAATGTTAGCGAAAAAGAACATGGCTCCGATCCATTGCAAAGGTCCTTTTCAGAGCGCTTGCTACATGGACCAATCAGCAAATTATCAATAACTCTGAGAAGTTGTACCCCATCGCCCTTAGAGCTGGCATTTTCACTGTCGGGCTATCGGTCTTTAATCTGATTTTTTATAAAAGATATAAAAGAGAGTTTTCGCAAGGATTTTTTCAGATTCGTCTTCTGCAAGAGAGAGGGGACTAGACGGTTTTTTGTAGTGATGCCAAAACATTTACATTTTTAACTACTCTTAACTTTTCAGTAATGAGAAGGCTCCTTTATTCCCCGGTAACGATTGGTGGCAAAATTCCATTGTGGAAAACTGCTGTTTACAGATAAAGCGAACATTTCCGATCAGTGCGACATCATTCCGTTGTACGGACTATATTTTGCTTTTGTTCGGTGTTCAATTATCTGTTCTGTCCCTTACCTTCCCTTGATAAATTTAAGGTGAATATCTTTCAACTTACAGCGTCATTCAGTGCAGTACTTGCCATTATGAATGTTCATTTCAGTGGAGCGAAAGAACCTCGTTGATTATACACAGTTTTATATCACAACTTCACCACTTTGATTTAGAGCCAGGCAGTAAATACAAACGCTTCCCCCCTTGAATAGAAACTGTTTTCCCTGCGGAAACACTCATGAGGTAGCTTGAGATCTCCATCGATCTTCATCCTACAAAAGAGACCTAAATTCCGCTATCAATATAAGATACTTTGCGGTCATCACTTTGATGCGGCTTTTCAGGACAAGCAAGCCGCGGATTGCAAGTAAGTATGATGCTAAATCTATAGAACAACTCAGCTTTTGTGGGTTGTAATGAGTCATCTAAACTGAATTTTAAGCAGGCCAGTAGTAGGTTAGACCAGCACCTTCAAAGCTTACAGAATTTGAAAAACTGAATGGTTTTGTTTGGTTTGGTAGGATTTAGCTTACTAAGTTAGAGATTTTCTCAAAGAAAGACGGGAAAACCGTGGTACATTTTTTCATCCGGCGCACACCAGCACACATCATATGCCTTTGATCCGTTCATTCAAAATATGCTTGCACCAAGTTAGTGTGTATTTAAGCTGATCAGCACAGATGAAATTACGTGATAATATAAAGGCTGATCGGAGGTAGAGATGTTGGTTAGAGTCGATACTATTACTACAGTTAAATTCAAACAGGAGTAAGCATGCAACTGGGTCCAAGAAAAATTTACATCCAGAATTTCTTGAAACCATGTATTCTGCTGCTTTTTAACCTGTATGAGTTGGGGCACGAATACTTGTGAAGAATTCCATTTTTATTCAGGATTATCGTCCGGGCGACAGCTTTCCCGTACGGTGATCCCGGGTGATCCAGGGAAGCGTATTCACTGGAAACGCTCAAGTAACTGGGACTTGACTGGACGATATAACAAAACTCCTCGCCTTAGATGGATTTTAAGCTTGTACCATTGAATGATACCGCAATGTGCGACTTATACTTGCCCCTTGAAACAACGCCGAACTCAAATGGCTAATTCACTTTATCCACTTACCACAGTTGCCTCGATAAAGGATTCGTTTTGGAAGTTGCGTGACGCACATGGATTTCCGCAGATAACACTCGTTCGAATACGTCTCACCATCCGTTCCACAAACGGGATCTGGCCATTCGTTCAAACAGTTGATATGTTGGCAATCACATCCGTTGAAGGGGGCCGGTGCAACGTGACGCCAGTTGTTAGACGGGTTGGTAGTTGGGCATTTGGCACCGTAGTTACACAAGTTGTTTCCATCGCACAGAGCATAGCTTTGTCTAGTTTGTCCTAAGCAGAAAGGAACGAGGAAGTTCATCTATCCTACCGCTCAATGGCGTTAAGTATGGCAGCAAAACCAAAAGGGGGCAAAAACTCCCTTATTTTGAACTACTTGGGTTGGACAAGTAGCTAAATTAAACAGAACAAAGCTGGAACATCTGAAGCAGACCACTGTGGCTTGCCCGAACACGTCACTTTGTGGGAAAGCTAGTGGTGCTCGTCACAGCGTGTGGGCGCATTCTTTCGTGAAATGAAATTTAGTGTTGCCACTGGGTCCTAGATTACTCGGCCATCTGCATCGCGAGAGTAAGTCGGTGCACTGACCGCTCCCATATACATCTTCGATATAGTGTTTTCCGCTATTAAGAATCTAAAATTAATGTGTCCTATTTTACTGATAGCTTTATTCCATATCGGACTTAAACAAATGTTGAAATACATCACAAACAAGAGTATATCTTGACACCGTTAATTTGTTTATTATTGTTGATGCTCTTTTCGTTCTTGTTGTCGACTTTGCTGGTGAAAATTATCACACTGACGTTGATGGCGGTGACTTTGTTGGTGTTGACGAAGAGGATGATGATGATGACGATGATGAAAGCAGTAACAACATAGTACTAAAACAGAACGATTTTAAGTCTCATACTTGGTTTGCTTACGTGGTTACGGCTGTATCCTTCAGTCAGTGGCCTATTGCATTAAACCATTGCCTCTGCTGTGTGGTTGTCATTTCCAGCAATGGTGGACATAAGCAAATCGATTTGTCTTCAAAGCAACGATTGGACCATGGCCTCTAATTTGTGGCTGCCGTTTCCCTGGTCATATTATTCTTGATGAATGAAGTTGTATATATAGGTTAGGACCATGGCATTTCTGTGCTGTAAGACTGACTGACTGTGTACACAGTGGCTTGAAGGTAACTATGTGCCATAATCCCCATAAGTGTTGAAAGCAACAGACCAGTAGCACACCTGGTGTCTAACTGCCATTTAACAGTGAAAAGAATCTTGGAAAATGGTGTGACAAGTTTGCACAATCAACCTTTACGAAGCCGTCAAATTACATCAACCAACGAGTACCGTTATTCGGTGAGATATGACCAACCCAAGCTCACCGACCATGAAACGTTCCTGATACGGTCAAGTGCTTGACCTGCGGTTGATAAATTAACTGATCAACTAATGCACACACAAAGAAAAAGGATATAGCATCCTTTTTCTTTCAGTCGCGTGTTCAACAGCATGTGATCAGGTGTTGACTAACTCCTCGAGTGACGACTTCTCAGGTATTGTCTGGGGAATGTGATTGGTGAGGGGACACTGCGTCGAAAAAAGTTCTACATGTATTTTGTTTAGCAAAGAGAAGGGTCACCTCTCCGAATAGCACTCACCTCAGTTGGTTGAAGTTTTTTTGCGAATAACTTTAACCCCTTACGGAAATAGATTATAATGAGTAACTCAGTCGGATTGATCCGGTGGTCTGCATCGATCTGGTGTCTGGCGTTAGATTTTGTCACGTGTTAGAACGCGCCAAATCTTCTGCAGATTAGCAAATGCTCTTTGGCTTGATGAGGAAAGTTAGGAGTCGTTCGACCCATTTATTCTCTGGAGCATAAGCAGTCAAACTAGGATATGACCATTAGGGAGTCACGCATCGGTACTTTATCATCTCACGGACTCTCTCATGCAGACGGCTCATGAGACTCCTTTCAGACTTCAAACCTATGCTTCCCAACCCCCGACGAACGTTTATACTGTGGTCGTACTTTTCTTATGAAGTGCTATGAGAGGCACTTGTTTGCAAACTTGTGTAAGACCTGCTTTCCTAAAAAAATCATGCAGTTTCTCAGTGCGTTTGCTTGTAGCGCAGTTTCATCTGATTAGTGGGGTATTAGCAAAGGCCATATTAGACTCAATGAGCACAAGACACTTTCTCAAGAACGAATCAAAACAGATATACGCTGATCGCTTTTGAGATTGAAACTTAAAATGACCTACAAACTGTTTGTTTCGATGAGGTTTCCGCACATTAAGGACACGAATATATCTAAGTGCACCAGGTACATTTTCTCATCACCCACCTACTGGGTGAACTCTGTCCCATCTAGTAAACCATCCGATCTGCACTCATGAAACCATTCGGTGTCACTTGTCCCATAAAGAGTACTACACACAAGGTTGCTGAAAAACACTGACACTCCACGACTGGTTTTGCCCATTTTGAGGCCTGTCATAAAACGGACGATCCAGTTAAGTCTCGGTAAAAATCAAACTGATATCCTAATGAGTGTACGTGCCGTACAGGGTGTCTCGTTTTAAATTCATACTCTTATGAGCGTGAAACAGAGAGCCCCGTGTTCATCCCACCGACAAACGACCGTGAGCGGCTGATCAGCAATTTGATTGAACGGGATATAGCATCCCTTTCTTTCAGTCGCGTGTTCAACATCATGTGATCAGGTGTTGACTAACTCCTGGGGTGACGACTCCTCAGGTGGAATGTTCACTCGTCGCGTGAATTACCCTCCCAAATCTGACGCATGGCCAGAAGAAGTTCAATGGACTGCGAGCGAAGGTAATGACTAGTTCTGGTTTTGTCAAACCTTGGGAAAAATTGTCAGAACATCAGCTGATGGCTTTTTGAAACTGATATCGCCAGTATGAATACTAATAAAGCTATTCCAGTACGTTCTAACAAACCTGTAAGATCTGTTAATTTGGTATCATGAGTGACTTGTTGAAGAAGAAAGTCACACCAATAATTACGCGATACATCCGGTGTGAAGTTTTCGCCCAAGGAACCAATAACCGCCAGATCACGTGATGCATACCAACCGATCGCAGGACATTCACAACACCGATCGGTTACTCCGAGCCAAATGTACAGATTTTGCCGATTCCTATCTTCCTCGAGATTTCGCACGAAATGCACTTTTGTCCTCATTTTAATCCAGACACACAGGTGTCGAATGAGAGTGTATTTGCGGTGCGTTATTGATCGATCCGTTGTATGTATCAGTTTATTCGACTTTTCGCTGAGTGTTATCCGGCATGCTTGTCTAATCCATCCTCAGTCGGAAAGCACAAAGTTGAGACGCACACCGATGGAGCTCTGTTGCATCTCGCGCGCGCTCAGTTAAAAAATGGTGATTTCACAGATACCGACATCTGATCTTGTTGAGATGTCACAAAAATGACAAGAATAACACGGGGCCGAACGAAGGGAATGCGTTCGAATTACGACACCATGATCTAAAGTTGAAATTTTTACCGCGACTACTTGTTTAACATGTTATCCCCAGGAGATATTACGTATTTCCGCGTGTACCACAATCAATCGTATAAACGCGCAAAAACCTGACGACACGTGACATCGCCTGAGAGACCCAACTGAATCTCTTGTTTATAACTTTCCTCAACTAACTATGCTGCACCAGACCGTCTCTTGTTCCAGCCAGTATAGCGATACAATGTATGGACACAACACGCTACTCATAAGGTTGCCTCAAACTAATCAATATTTGGATATTTTTCCCGCTACCTAACTAAAAGGTAGCCTTCTCAAGCATTCAAATTTAAGACAATTTACTATCTCACGTGCCTGTTGTTCCAAAACCACTGTCATGCTTACTATTTTCCATGAGCTGATTAACTCACTTTACCTATAGGGACAAAGTACCCCGCAAACACCTACACCAAGTTTTTTGAAACCAAAACAAAGATGGTTTGCTCATCTATCCGACACTGATAAGGACGCTTCTTTATCCGCAGTTGAAATGAAATACCAAGGGATAGCGCTGTGCCATAGACTGAACAGACAATCGGTAGAACGTCATGCGCATTGGGTCGCTTTTTTAAAGCGATGGCGTTGTCGCGAGGTCTGAAGGGTACGAATTTCTGATTGAGTTCGCTCGGCTGGATAAAACACCATACTTCGAGTAAGACCTGACCCTCGTCTAAACCGCACTCTAACTACTGTGGCCTAAGATTTCTTCAATGGAGTGCCTCGGATCCTAGACAAATAGCAGACGGAGACGACTCATGTCATGTGACATCGAGCGTGTGATCGAACGGACCTGAGTCACGCGGACCGCAGCGACACTGATACCGATAGGTTTCTACCGTTAGATCTGGTTTGTATAACTGCCAGACAGAGGTGGTTGTTCCATCATTCCAACTGCACCGCTGAGGTCACAAATTTTGTGACCTCCCGGTGAGCCCCAAGAAGGGTAAAATCGCTTCTGGGTCTTGAAGAGTTTTCAGCAACCTTGTGAGTAGTTTCGTGCATGAAAATATGCTGCGATAGCTCGAATATCATGCAACCTGAATCAAAAGGCGGTCTTGGTGCAGCACACTTCGTTGTAGGATATCATGAACCAGGCATTCCGTCGGGATCTAGACGAGTCTCCTGTAAAAAGTAAACTGGTGTGCAGATTTTGTACGATTTGGATTCAAGTAGAACGTGAAGTTCGCGGAGATCCTGGGACTGCGCTTACCTGATGAGCCGTAATAAGAGGGAAACCAGTGGTGGACGGTCAAAGAGTTTTTAACAACCTTATGAGTTGTTGTCATCGAGGATGAGTGAAAGATCGACCTCTAACTTGCCGCTATAGCAACCGCAAGTAAACTTATTTTTGTTCTAGAAGAAGCCCTAAAGATTCGAATGCGATCTACTTTCCGACAAATACACTTATTCGTGTATCCGGTTGGTTTTTACGGAAGAGTTACCTGAATTTCAACTAAATCTCTGGTTTATGGTTTTGCTATGCACTATTTTCAATCGAATAAATGTCAATAAGGCTTGAAACTCGTCAATAGCCCATTCTGGTCACGATGAACAACAATCTGGCAAACAAACTGACATTACTTGGGAGCCAACAACGACGTCACTCAACATAGTCCAGAGTTTATCGGTTTCCACCACCCGAGGTTCGCCGTATTTTTGGGCTATGTGTAAAGATCTTGAGAGCAGCGCAGCTATCCAATTTCTCGAATGACAAAGGTGGTGTAGTGTGTTGTGAACTAACAGCGGAAATCGTATTCATAATTAACCTACTGACTTTGAGCAAACATGTCGATGAAGCAACAAATACAGTTTTCAAGCAAGGAACGGTTATTTCCCACCCAAAATTTTGAAACAGCCCATCCTGTCGTGTGATTTAATTCCATTTGGAAGTTCAATTTCCATAATGTCAATGATCAGACCACTCGGATAAGTCTAAAATTAGATCCTGTTCTCATTGTCTGTTTTCCAGTCGTCCTCAGGAGACCTGAGATTCATGGCATGGTTACTGAGCAGATCACGTTCTGAAACGCATGAACGACCGATAACAACCGAGCCGATGACAGCTCCACAAAATTGACGAGGCTGAAAATAGAACGATCACATATCCGCTTTACTGACCTCGATCTGGTCAGATAGCCCTCATCGATGTACAAACCGGTAGGTAACGCCTGAACAGTTTGCACTGGGTGCATTGGGTGTGACCATTTTTGTTCGGTGGTGAACTCAGTTGATTTGTTCCGTGAATCTCTACCACGACCAGTTTGTCTGTCTTCAGGCAGCACGGAACAAAGAAATTCCGTAGCCTCATGGATGAGAACAAGCAATTTTCAAACAAAAGTCACTCGGAGCAATTTTTGACGAAGTATGTGCGGAAATAAGTACTGATTCTATCCTGGGCGAAAGGCAAAGACAACCAACTGTCGGATGAACACTCAAGGCCTGGATTCGTTCAATTCTGGCGCCAAACTTTGACAAATTGAAGCATCACCGATCTCACTTCATGGTTGACTTATGAAAAGATCATACACAAGCTTGTACTTGATGTATTTTAGAATTTTCTTGTTCCGGCGCCCGGGTGGAAGTTTTTTTCAGGTTTAGGCATCACACGGCAGCTTCTTCGATCCACGCAGCAGTTCTTCATCCAACACACCGATTCCATGAAATAAATTCATCTAGCTTAGTCTTTTCAGTGACCCTTTTAGTACGCGACCTGACTGCTAACTCTGGTGACTCACCGAACCATTTAGGTAAACGAAACGTTTAGTGCACTTAGATGTATGGCCGTAAAACAGGAATGCGTTGGACACACAACGAACCTGGGGGCAATGGGTGACTGTTCACTTTACCCATTGACAAAAGTGAACGCGTGGAACACCTAAACCGTCGTTAATCAAGTAAGGGAATTTCTGGCCCTCGACAAACACTGTGACCATTAAGATGCAAGTAACTGTTAGGTTGTAATGCACTACTCATAAGATTGATGAAAATTCGTCGACACCCTTACGAGTAGTGCAATACAAATATGCGTGTATCGCGATATCTCGAATATCCTAGCGACTGAAACATGAGGCGGCCTGGTGCAGCACATTCAGTTGCCTGAGAACATCACAAACGGGAGATGCAGCTGGGTTCCAGGTGAGTCTCTCGAAAAACCAAATTAGTTTGCAAATGAGTGTGTTTCGCTAAGTAACTGTTAAGTTTGTGATTACCTTGAGTGGATGAAGCACTGAAGGCTGGATTAGAATTCCTTTGGGTAACTTTATTAAAGAAAGCTTTCCTGCCTAATTTATCCATTCACTAGAAACCTGATAGGTATATAAAGTTCGTGAGAGCAGGTTTTGCACAGTAGAGTAAAACAGTGTGAATTTCATATCCCTCAATGAAGAACCAGTCAAAATGGAATGCTCATCAGGAGACCCATGGAAAACCATTTTTGTTTCCATGCACAATCTCTAGTCCTGTTAATTGGGAGGCGATTTTTCAAACCGCACAAATACAGAACGTAAAGTGTTTTTATTCTGCTACTCTAGTGTTGGCCGTATTCAACACCCTTCGAATGACTTCAGATGTCCCTGTTTTGTGAGGGATAACTGCTGTTCCGACCAAGTATTGGTCTTGGTCTCAATATCTGTCCTGGTTGTCACTGAGTCTCTCCTGTGCTGCGGTTTGGTCGACCTCCACTGAGCACGCTGAACTTAGCAGACTAGGCATTGCTGATTCGATCGCCTTTTGATGTGCAGATGAATATTTCGATACCGCACCACCATCTGTTACTTTTCGCTCATCACTAGTTTCTTGTTTCCCGCCACTCTTGTGCGTCACTTAGTCAACGAAGGTCAGTTGGTAATCAATGCTGAACTTAATGTGAGGCTTTAAAGTGATAAGATATCGAAAGAAATTGCTAACTTTATCACATTTGATCACAAAGAACGTGTCATTTGCGTGAACCAGAAAACTCTCGGTGGACACAGAAATCTGTTCAAAGTCCTCTACATACATTTGTCACACTACAGACAGTAGAATGGTTTGGTTTAGCACAGTTTGTAGGATGTCGTATTAATGTAGTCAAAAGGCCTTTCCTCAAACGGGAGCTGTGGCAAAGCGTTTAGTGCATTCCGAGTAGTTTGCGTGGTTGGATATCTTTAAGGTTCCTTCCTCTCTTTCAGAAAGTAGGGATACGTTTGGCAAGGCTGGCTAATGCTAGGAGGGAGAAACTGGAAACCAGTAGAACACAGACCAGTTAGGCGTCTGATAAGAATATCGACAAATATAAGGCTGAACAGGTGAACATGTTCGCGCTTGAGTGATGTGAGCAGAACGCCCGACGCCTCGAACGATGACCCAGGACAACTGTTCAAACGAAAGTCATGTGAGTATGTATTCCACAAAAACATCCTGCAACCACCAACACCTGAAGTATAAGGCTGCCTTCAGTCTCTACTGAAGAGCAGTCTGAAGAAGCAGGTAAGAACAACGTTCTTGCAATTCGGGGTAAACTGAGACAAACTATAAAGCTAGCGGCATTGGTTACATGAGAGTGAACGCAGATTATTCTGTCAACAAAGTCATAACACAAGTTTTTCGGCACACAGAACAAAGGTTTTAATAGGTTTCATAAAGGAAACTACTCACGAGGTTGCTGAACACTCTTCGACAGTCCACGACCGGTTTCGCGCTTCTTAGGGCTCATCACGTAGGCGCAGTCCCCGAGTTCCCATCAACCTTACGTTCTACTTGAACAAAAATTGGACGTTTTTCAAAAAATACACTCATTTGCAAATCNCTACTTGAACCCAAATTGGACGTTTTTCAAAAAATACACCCATTTGCAAATCGATTTGGTTTTCACGAGAGACCCAACTGAATCTCTCGTTTATGCTATTCTACGACTGAATGTGCTGCACACAAACTACTGAAAAGTTTGCTGAAAACTCTTCCACAGCTCACGACCGGTTTCACGCTTCTTGGCGCTCATCAGGTCGGCGCAGTCCCCGTTTTTCGTGTTTTGTTGCGTATAAAGGAAAATATACTGCGTTTTCGCGTTTTGTTGCGTATGAAGGAAAACATACTGCGATATCTCGAACATCGTGTCAACTGAATCATGAGGTTTCAAAGAGCTTTATTCTACGTAACCGACTCTTTCGCTGTGAAGCAAAGCTTAACCCTGTGTCTTGTTTTGATCGGAGTTCTACTGCTCGATGACTGGACTTTTTTGCTCGCTGAAGTTAGGTTAGGGTCTGTTAGCTTCTCATTTATGTGTTTTCCTTAGCCGATGTTTTATTGCTCATCTTTCTAGCGTCTAGACCCAGCAGTTTATGTGTCGATCTAATTTCGGCTTGATTTGTAAATGCAGTGACTATTTACAATGCCTGGCATTGCGGCAGACGATACCATACAAAATAAATTCTTTCCACCACAATATTACCGTATTGTTTTACGTCACATCTGGGCGTTTTGTGTACAGAATGCCCTTGCAAAGCGACTCCATCCTCAGTAAAACCAATTAAAAGCCATAAATTTGCTGTTCAATGCCATCAAAGTCATCAAAACCGGTAAATTTTGCCACAAGTTTATAAAGTCCCCTCGGGCAACTTATATGCCTACACATCTATGTTCATTAGTAGTTTGATGGTTTTCCATTCGTATATCCGCAACCCCAAGTTTCCATGTCTGGAGCTCTGTCAGTCAGATGTAGACAAACAACACGCCGAGGGCAGTTCTATGAAATTTGCCATACGTTTATTAGCCTAATGCCGTTTGTATGTTGATCAAAACAGGAGTGCGATACTCACGAGGTTACTGAAAACTTTTCCATAGCCCACGATCGGTCTTGGAGCCTATCAGGTGGGCGCATTCCACAAGCTTTCGTCAACTTTATGCTCTAAATTGGTAGAAAACCGCCAAATACTAATTCGATTTTGACGGGAGACTCAACAGTTTGAGGACGAAAATGTCTGTAGGCTAAAATCAAACGCCTTCGCACTCGGAGTCGCTAGAAAAGGAGTTCTGGCTAACATGCCTTTTTACTTATCAGTTTGGTGCTGACAAATATATATGTATACATACGTATTTACATACGTATACATACGTATATATATCACGGTCAGAAAAGTAATACACGAATAAATATTTCATCATGTTAGTGTAATGGTGATACTACTGATTGGGGTATGCGAGCAGTATGTTTTCAGGTAAATCCTCTCTATTACGGAATTTGTGGAGTCACTCTGTTGCATCTGCTTGCAATTGAGTAACAGTCAACGAATATTTAGGAAAGTTCAGGAAGACGCTTTCCAGGGGAAGATGGATATTCGGTTTTTTGTATGTGAGAGTTTTGCTCCCCAGTCCAATATTTTGTAAGTGTTAAGTTGGTAGTTTCTAATAAATAACTCTGCAGTGAAGGCCTTCTTCCTTTCAGTAGTACTCAATTAATTAATCAGTTTGGTGGTTACAGTTTAACTAACGTAACGTAATGAATATCCTAACAAAGATGCAGGTTCAGCGATCCGGCTTTCTAAAGGAACTACGCCCTCTCGCCTTCTGACAGGGTGCGTTCATGTTGCGTCAACAAAAAGTAGGTTTTTTTAATGGTGAGATCTCGACTTACTTGCATAGTACTGATTCAAACACTTGTTAGTGTAGTCCACGTTCACCATCACTGGTCGACTTGGGGAATATGGTAACAAGCTGCCACCTGCGCATGAACGTTTCCTTAGAAGGCATTCGTTCTGGTACATAACTCCATCGGTCCCACATACAGGTCGCAGCTCCAAGGAACAAGGAATTGGGTCACAGGGGTTGAGATTCCTCCCCTGTTGTTGTGAAACGTCTGCATTGGGAGAGGATATAAGGGCTTGAGCTCCGTATCCGGCATCCTGCTGAAGACGATCTTCGAATGGCGATTGTAGTGGACTACCGACTCGTGTACCTTGTGGAGGTTTTGGTTTGAAAACCGCTGCGAAGCAAAGACATAAACGGAAATAGATATTACGATTGGTCACGCAACTAATTATGGCCATAGAGTTACTCTTCCGGAAATTTGAGTGTCAGTAACTCATAGACTAGCTGGCCAGAACTGACCAGACTGAATTTATGCCATCTAATATGTCATGCATAAGTTATAACTTTGATAATATTTTTCTTCGAAAATTTGTGTAGCCCCTAAGGAGTACTTTCTATGCACAGGTTTAGTCGGTAATCGAAACGTCCGGTTCGGTTTGAAAGAGGATGTCTGAAGCTCAATGTCGCAGGACTGGTGGCAGTTTTACAACAGATAAATAGGGTTTCTTTCATCTTGCCGCAGTGAAACAAAAGGGTCCACGTCAGTGTTTTTTTGTGGCGTTATTTTGGTTTACAAGGGACTTTGTATGAACAGAGGTAACCAGGTATGGTTGCTTAATTTATGTGTCGTTTCCAGTAAAAGTCCCGACTGGAAGTTGGTTTTCCAGTGAAGACTACAATGTATAGGAATCCACCATGAATGGTAGCTCATAGTCAGAAGTAGAACGTCCTGGAACCAGCTTTCGTTAAGGATCCACGTGTTTGTGTGACTGTAGAGTGATACAGGGCACACGTACGTAATGGTTAGGATGCACGCACATCGCCGCTCGCCGGTCGAGAAAGCAAGCTCATTTACTAGCTACGAGTATACCTGTAGCGCATGGTGTTGACGCGCACCTTTTTCCCCAGTTTACGAATGACGCCTCCCTCTCTAAAGACCAGTTTTGAAATGTCAATCTAGGAGGGTAGTTGGGCTTTCAGTCGGGCACATAGTTATTACTTCTGGTCTTCACTGACTTAACATTACTTGGGGTATTTTTTATCATCAGCACTGCGGTTAGCACGTGACGTCTCCGCCATCTGCGATCAGGATGCATCCCACCCTCAAGATTTGTTGTGACACAATGCCATCCTGGATACAGTATTTACCAAAATACGCCTAAAATCCTCTTGAAAAATATGGTGAAAACATAACCTATCAAAGGAGAGACAAATCACACAAACTCAAATTCATGTCATCTTAAACAAGGGTCTTTATGTGCCAGCCTACCTGAAAATAAGCTGCCCCTTTAGTGTATCACGTTTTTTCTCAGCTACTTACATTCAGAGGAGCTACTGTACGATAAAGGATCCTGACATGCTCATGCACGCATTTTAACCCAAACAATCATAGTGAGAAATGAAATTCATTGTACGATTTGGATCTTCCCGTTCAGAAATATTTGAAAGCTAATGACGTTTCACAAATAACGAGCAAACCATATTTTCTCGCACTTGTCAGCACAACTCACGCCTACATACCAGCTCAACCGATTACATGCGTGTTTGTATATCCATCCTTACTGATCGTTCGTCACGTGATTGATTTAGCGACTGGCTCAGTTCCATTTTCCACTCAATATGCAGCTTACATTTTTTTCGTGTTATCAGACGCGGGGAAAATCAGTGGTCTCTCCCTCCGGGTCGCTCTACAACACGTACCGTGTACACGAAATACTGTTTTTGAAATTAGCCCTTGTCGATGTCATAGCTGAGGACCTTGTTATCCTGTCAACTCTACCTTAGGATGTCACGGCATAAAACCGTGTACAAACCAGGACAATCTACGAATCGAGTTGCTACCACATGTTGACTACTGGTGCAGGCAGTACCGGGACGAACCATGACTCATCCTCCCGGTATTTGTGCCCCCAGTCTGCTGCAAAGTAAAACCACAGATCACAAAGTTTTAAGTCAATGGGCGGTCATTTACCGACAGTTTTGTGTATGGGTACGCTGCTTGGCAGCGTTTTGTAAAACACTGGTCCCACAGAACTGTAAAGAAACACTTCACGGGAGTGCAATATTTTTTCCTTAATGGTCGAGGAGCCCCATAGAAATGTTTTTTACAAAAACCCCAAGCACGGTAAATAAGTGGTTGAGTCAACAACGGCACTTCACTCAGCCCAATCTGCTGTTTCTATGGGAGAAATTTAAAATTTGGTCTGTAGTCTGTTTTTTTTTTCGGAAAGACTGTTCAAACCTCCAGAAGAAGCATGAACAGTGGAGATTTTTCCCGATGGCTGGAGTTCAGAAGTGCTCTAGACTCTGGAAATTCGAAAAATCCAACAGTCTCTTCCCGCACAGTTGCATCCAGAAATAGCAACTCACCATCCAAATTCTCTAGGGCTTAGGCACTTGGGTGCTCGATCAAACGGAAAGGATCTGTGCGCTTCCAAAACTTCGGATCGTACTACAAGATATGGCTGCCAACCGATGTCATTGACGTTCTTGTTGTCAGTTTCTATCCAGATCACCTGAGTGAATGTCTAGAGGTATAAGTACCTCGGAATGATTGTGATAAGCTAGCACTAAGTCCCTTCCCCATCCACCTTTACTCTTTTCTTTACAATAAGGGTTTCAAATAAATCATGGTTGTACGGCATTGAAGCATCGGTATTGAACATTGGTGTCATGCTGTCGATGATGATGACGATGACAATGAATTTATGCTTAGCTCCATGGCATGAGCCGCAAAATTAGCCTTGTGTTGTCTTGGAATTGCCATTCACAAAACTACAGCAGAATTCACGTTATTTGTCGTCAGATGAATATTTGTGCGTTGACAGTTGTTTTCAAGGTCACGGTGATGACCACAACTCATCGTAATCCCTATTGTTTTTGCTCATCTTTTGGTATAAGTTGGTCACAACGTCAGGAACCAATATAAAAACGTTGTTTTTCCGGGAAAGTGGGTTCCCTTGCCAGATGGATAGTGCGCTATGGGCGATAAATGGTTGATAGCTTAAAAGACCCATCAGTGATCGCAGGTGATCATGACAAATAGCTAGAATGAACAGCGTAAAGATAGTCAAAAAGGACAGGGTTTGTAGTGACGCAGAAAAGCTGGTTGAATGGTCAGGTGAACAACAAATCATTCAGGCAGATGCGTCTATTCTGTGCCCGAACCAACCCGTCAGCAATCATAACAGAGTCAAGAAAGACACAAATGGTGCAGTTCTGAACTTTCGATTTGCGATACTCAGTTGTTGGTGATTCTCTCAAGTGCGCTGAGATGGTTAGGCTGAAAACTTACTTGAAAGGAAGAAGGCCTTCGCTGCGGAGTTGTTTATCAGAGCAACACCAACTGAACGGTAGCAGACTATTGGACAGGGGAGCAAAACTCTCATGTGCATCTTGCTTGCAAAACAGAATGTCCATCTCCTCCTTAAATGCGTCTTCATGAACTCTTCCAGATATTCATTGACTGTTAGTCAAATGCAAGCAAATGCTACAAAGCAACTCCACCAATTCCGTAAAAGATCTCACTTTTCAAGAGACCCGAAGCGGATTTACGAGGAAACATGCTACCCGGATGCCTCATCACTAGTATCCACCGTTTCACAAGGTCCGCTGTTTGAACCCAACCCTGTCCTCTCGACTGTTTCTACTTGGGAAGCTATTCAGTCCTCGTGCTTCCTTCAGATGGCCGAAAAAGTGTTATGGCTAACTGACTATTTTTATTACTATTGTCTTGATAAAACTGGTCATTTGCCGGTGGATGTAACAGGCCTCTTGAATAGCTCGGCCTTAGCAATATTGTCACCTGGTTCACCAGGCCAAACACAGCTAAAATGTGCTTCCATCTGACCATTACATTCTAACCCATTCTACCAAGGTATTATTTTAGCCCGTTCATTATTGTTTTACAGGGAAGACATACCAAGTACGCAAAAAGAACAGAAATGGTCACAAGAGTATATCATACTAATGAGTGATATTCATCTGTCTTTAAGTTTTCGTCTGGAACTGCGAAAAATTAATGGACTCAGTTTCAAACTTTGATTTGTGATGCCTCATGAAGATACAGTACATGAATCCGAGTGATTTTTTCGCCGGTCTAACATGTATCCCCCCGGAGGTGGGATGAAATGTAAGCTTGCGAATTTGATGTTCATATCGTGCTTAAAAGGCCGACAGGGATGAGGCAGTTGAAAGAATTTTATGTTCAATAGCCAGCTGGTGAATAAACATTCATGAGCTTTCGGGCACTTTAAAACACGCATGTTGTGATTTGTCAAACATACCTTGAGGACAAGCTCAATCGCGGCCTTGTTGGTGCCAAAAATTAGGGCTACTAAGCAACCAAACGGCCAGAAAAGCAGCTGAGAAGGAAATAAATAAAGTCTGAAAATGCTGAAGACCATCCAGCTAATGTACTGACCTTTAGCCAGTTCAGAAGAGGAGAAATTACTGAGCTTTAGCCAACAGGATGCAACAGTCCTTTTTAAGAATATTCGAAAGATGACCACTAGGTGAAACAGAAACTATTCAAGTGCGCTGGAAACTGTTATGTCTGCTGATTCGCCAATCCGCTGTACCTGACTGCTGACCCCACTCCAGTGCCTGGTGCCCGAAAAAAGGCTTACAGAAGTGAGCTCAACAGCTATATTCCGAAAAAGCGAGTGGGGAAGCGTGAGTGCGCGCGAGTGCGAAAGTGCAACGGCTTCAAGCTATTTACTGAAGGATCACTGTCTGAACTCGGTCCAACGCTGACGCACGCGGACTGGCTTTGGTACGGGCTGTGACGCGCCGCATATTGCGGGGGTGTTGCCTGACCTTGACCAACACTGACCCGTTACAAGGCTGTGACGTGCTACTTATTGAGGGGGCGTTGTCTGTTTGGTCAGCATCTAGCGGAGCTAGATTGGTAGCTTGACTGGTAGCACCAGCTGAACCGTGTTGTCAAAGGCTGAACTAAATCAGACCGCTCAAGAGGACGGTACCATTGGACATACTAGATCACTGAAAACCAATTCCTTTCTTCATTGACACTGGCGTGTCGCGGTGCTCCTCAGTGATTCCCTTTTCTCTCTTCTTCCTGTTTCACACGCATTCCCCTTTTCGATTTTTTCATTTTGATGATGTTGCGGCACATCCAACAGTTTGCCGCTAAGACGCATAGTTCGACATATG